TGACTGGACACCGGAACGGGCGGTGTGCCATTAGATTTGACACCCAAATCAAAGGAGTCGGTGAGATTGTGATTTGCCACAGCGTGAGCGCGTCTAACCGGGTACCACCGGTCACTCACCAACCTTAACCGAAAACGTGTCAGTGTCGGCAGCACAGTACGGTACAGGTAGATCCCACCGTCGTTCTTGGTAAAATTAAAAATACTCTTAATAAAATATTACTTCTGGATCTAATTCAAAATTATTCTATTTTTCATACGGATAAAACATGTAGCTTTTATTTAATATTTTTGTTTTTATATAATAAATTTGTATTGTTAAGTAACTTTTATTTATAATTATTGAAAGTAATATTTATATTTAAACAAATATATTTTTGGAATACTAAACAGTTTAAATAATTGAAATTTGATTATACTTAAGTTGATTTTTTTTATATATTTGAGTTTAGATAGAATATTATCTTTTTAATTTATACATGAAATCTTAATAATTAATTTATATTTATCATAAAAATATTCATTTTTTAATTGATAATGTTAAATTTCTGTAATTACAATGTTTCTTAATTTTTTCTCAAATCTAGTTATGTATAGTATTTGGAGCGAAACGAAGGTTAAAATTATAAATGAATAATTATATTATTTTATTTTATTTAAAAATTTTATTCGGTTTTAATTTTCATTTAAATTATTTAATTTAGTTTCTTATTTTTTAACTAAATTTTGATTAAGTTTTGTTAAATTTAAATTAGTTTCATTTTTATACATATTAAATGTTATAGTTTGTAGTATTTCTAATTTTTTTAATAAAATTAAAAAATTAAAAATATTATGAAGTAGCACGTAACATGTAAAAATATAACATAAATCTAACAATAATAGTTTGATTGTTTTTTTTCGTTCTCTCTTAATTTCTCTGAGAAATGTTTGTGGTACAGTCTCCATTTGGTGTTATAACATTATGAGGAGTAAGTAATGGATGACATATTTTCCAACATTTCCAATACTAACATTTGCTTTAATTTTTTAATTTGTGATTTTAGAAAGATCAGTGATACTGAATAAAGGCACTAACTAACAACGATGGAGCAGGAGCGGAATGGAAATACTCCTCACACACTTAACAAAAATGAATTAACTATATTAAGAATTTGGTTAATTAAATATGTTAATGTGCAAATTATGATGATTGGACTAAAAATGATATTAATCATTTAGAAATTTTTTTGGTTAATAATATACTTTTAGCTATTTGTTATAAATATTAAATTAAAGAATTTTATTGATAATTATTTATATCACATTTAATAGTTTCACAACTTAAAAATAGAAATCTGTCTAAATAATTTTTCTTTCTTTCATTTTCTGAAACATTTTTTAAAAATTAAATTAAACTTTAAAATATATAATATCTCGTATAAGAAGTGATTCACTCTCAAGATATCATTCGATGAATTTGGATTTGGGATGGAAACATTATGGTCTATAGTGTAATTGATAACTCCTACGACACACAATTATATAATTACATTTATCTAAAAGACAATTGAAGTTAATATAACTTTGAAATATAATTAAAAGTGTTGAAAAATTATTTAAATGGTTATTTTATTTTTAAAATTATGTTCTTATAATAATAACCATTTCTTAAATCAATGGTTGAAAATGGTTAATCTTTAGAATTTAGTGATATGATTTTATTATTTACTACATTATAATNCTGGGCGATATCAGGGCTCTGCTGCTCGATGTTCACCAACACCTTGCATTTGTCAGCATCAAGACCGACATCATCAGAGATGAATCCAATGCTGCGGCATGTGTCACGGACAATCTTCTCGTAGTCTACTTCGGCCTTGGTTGTGATCTCCCCAAAGACCATGACCATGTTTGTCTTGGAGCATGTTTCACAGGCAACCTTGCTGTCAGGGTCCTGAGCAAGGCACGCGTCGAGCACTGCATCAGAGATCTGGTCGCACAGCTTGTCGGGGTGACCCTCGTTCACAGACTCAGATGTGAAGAGAAAGGTTTCGGTTGCCATTTATCAAGCTGCAGAAAACACAACGTTTAGTTTTACAATGTACATATGCTTAAGCAAGAAAAAAAAACTGTGGGTGCCATAATGGCAGCTGAGATTCGATATCATATATTCCAAACAAAGTAAATTAAAGCATACATCCCTAGAGCAAATTGATAGAAAATCGCGAAAGTTTATGCCAAGTTGGATTAAAATAGCTTCATCTTGATCTACTTTTAGAAAAACTGCTGATCCTAACAAAATAATTGCAGATAAAACGATAAGAAAGTATATACAAGGATTCCCGGGCACCATCTTGGAAGAAATCTTGGATTTCTGAAAGAAGAAAAATTATCCCTCATCGAAGTAATTTTAAATGAAGACAACGCTAAAGGGTTCAAGAAAGAAAAGATTAAATGAGCACTATCACATGAGGCACAAAAACTAGATCCAGACAGAGAAAGAATAAGTTAGAACAGAGTATTCACGTGAAAACATCAGATCTATACAGCAAAAGACCAAAACTCAACAGAAATAGCATCCCATTTCAGATAATCAAACGACAACAGTGAAAAGCATAGAAGAAAAGAAAAGAAATATAAATAAAATTCAGATCCATAATCGTAAGGGTCTAGTTAAGGACAAGACAGAAAGCAATTCAATTTGGGAAGAAAACATTTTGCAGTTGTGGAGGAAAACAAGGTTTATAGAAAGAAAAACGGTACGAGAATAGAAGAGAAGAGAAGCGTGATGAACGAACCTCCAAAAGAACGAAAGAATGGAATTTGAACAAAGAAATTCAGTGAGTGGAAGTAAACCAGAGTCACCAGACAGTGCAGAACCAAAGCGCAAGTGACTGGTTTAGTGTTGTGAGGGTAAGAGAAAGAACCTTGTCTCCCTATTTATAGTGATCACTGCCTCCTTCGTATGACTGGATACCGGAACCGGCGGTGGTGCCGTTAGATTTGAGACCCAAATCAAAGGGGTCGGTGAGATTGTGATTTGCTATGGCGAGAGCGCGTCTATAACCGGGTACCACCGGTCACTCACCAACCTCCACGGAAAACGTGTCAGTGTCGGTAGCACAATACGTTACAGTAGATCCCACCGTGATCGTTGGTAAAATTTAAAAAATACTCTTAATAAAACATTACTTTTGCATCTACTTGTAAGCAAAAATTATTCTCTTCTCCATATAAGGGATAGTTAAATCTATTTAATACTTTAATTTTTTATAAATATATTTTTTAAATAATTTTTATTTACATTTATTGAAAATCCACATAGCAATACGTAATAAAAACCTAACATATGTATATTTCACGTCACTCTATTAGTTATTAATTTTAGTGCTGTTAACAATTAGAAATAAATTGCATTAATTTTTTACAAATCAAAATTAAATTGAAATTAATACAAATTGAAAATTCGACTTGATTTTTTTAGAAAAAAATAAAAATTAAATAATTAATTGAACTTTTTTCATATATTTAATGGAAAAAGAAATCGTAAATTTCCTTTTTATTAATATTAATCACTTTTTATTAATATTGTACATAGAAGTAAAATAATAGTTACATAAAATAACCAAATAATGAAATTTTNGTTATAAATATTAAATTAAAGAATTTTATTGATAATTATTTATATCACATTTAATAGTTTCACAACTTAAAAATAGAAATCTGTCTAAATAATTTTTCTTTCTTTCATTTTCTGAAACATTTTTTAAAAATTAAATTAAACTTTAAAATATATAATATCTCGTATAAGAAGTGATTCACTCTCAAGATATCATTCGATGAATTTGGATTTGGGATGGAAACATTATGGTCTATAGTGTAATTGATAACTCCTACGACACACAATTATATAATTACATTTATCTAAAAGACAATTGAAGTTAATATAACTTTGAAATATAATTAAAAGTGTTGAAAAATTATTTAAATGGTTATTTTATTTTTAAAATTATGTTCTTATAATAATAACCATTTCTTAAATCAATGGTTGAAAATGGTTAATCTTTAGAATTTAGTGATATGATTTTATTATTTACTACATTATAATTATTAACATAATTATATATATAGTTAACTGTTAAGTAAATTTATAATAGGCTTAAAAAAATTTATTAACATAATTATAAATTATAGTTAACTGTTAAGTAAATTTAACTAAATAAATATTTTAATTTTAAAATACGTCATATAAAAATTCCACGTATTAGTTACACTGGTTTAAGGAAACCTGCAGATGTATTATTACCTATAGTTTTTTTCTTCTTTATTTTGACTATGTTTGACATGATTTTTTATTTAATTTCTAACTTTTTTACTAACAGAAAAAAGTGTGGAATATAATAATTAAGAATATAATTTTTTTATAAAATAATCACTTATCTTTTTTTAATCTTCGTTAGATAGATAACAAATACTTTCTAGCCTTTTAAGAGTTTGGTAAAAAAAATAATTGTTACAATAGAAAATTAAAAAAGAGTCTTCCAAAATGAATAATTAAATTTAAAAAATATTATTATCAATACAAACAAATATCAATATTTCATTTACTAAATTAATAATTTAAAAATAGTATATAAATATGTATGTATGTAAATCTAATTTTATTAAACTAATTTTATAAAATTTAAGCAGGCTTGAGTTACACTTTCTATTATAAATCAACACTAAAAAATCCTAATATAAAAGATAGTCATGAATAATATATAATTGTCATCTCACACTTACATTTATGTGATCTAATAATAAAGTAAAAAAAATGCGTATTATTGACAAAATGTGGTGCTAAAAAAAAAGTAATAAGTGTTGTGATTTGTACATAGTTTATTGAGTGATAAGGTGGTGTCTTAATATGAAGTGGAATATGAGCGTCTTATACCAAATGAATGGAATGTTATCACCAGTTGGTATAAAGCAGCACCAGAATCACTTTACGATATTTCGTCACTCATTTTACTTCAAGAATAAAAAAATTAAAGTAGTATACGACGTGTTTGGATTATATTAATTTTTTACAAAATCAATTATAATTTTACGCTGAAAAGTATTAACTAGTATGTTTTAGATGTATTTTTAACTAATCTTCCTATTGTGTAGCACAACGCGCAGAACATGGGTCATGATTATGAAGAATTAATGTTGTTGTGGTAAAGTTGTGGGAAGTGAGAAATAAGTGAATTTATAAAAAGGGAATTGGCATGAGTCAAACTTAGTTGATTGAACTTTTAACAAGAGAAAAGAAAAAAAAAACAAAATGCATAATGACAAAATTTTATGCTAAACCAATGACTGGTATATTGGTGGTTATGCAACGTTATTCGCAAGGTGGAATATGACCAATCATATTCCAAATCTACGGCAAAATTAACAGAAGGAATGTGAATATTTTAAAGTAACTCGAATCAAAACTGTGACAATGACAAATTATTTATCATACTATTTACTTTAATAAGCTTAAAATTGTGTTGTCAAATATTAATTTTATGATTTATTTTAGTGTTGTTTTTATAAGACTTTATGGCTAGGGTTTATGAGTGATTGCCGTGTTTTGCTTTTATATATATATATATATATATATATATATATGTATGTATGTATATACATTCTAGGTTTGATTTACATTTTGGAAAAAAGAACATTTTTCAGAAAATAAAGTCTTCAAGAAATAATTTTTAGTGGATTTTTGCTACAAAAACAATTCTTTGGAAGGTAAAAAAAAATTGTTCGAGTTAAAATATAAACTTTTCTAATAAACATCGGGTTTTTGTTATTAAGTCATTGAATTTCTTTTTCCCGCTAAATTTTTATCTTTAAAAAGTACTTATGTAATATTTTTCGTAACTAAAAGAATTTTAGTTATTCTTAAGAATAGTAATACCCACGATTCTTATTTCTTATGAATAATAATTTTTGGACGTGAAAAGTCTTCTCTTCCACCAATTTTTCTTTTACTTTCAAGTATTCAACCTGATGAGAAAATAATTTTTTCTTTTATTGTTTTGTATTACTTAAAATTGTCTCATACATTACGCGTTCAATTATAAAAAAAATTAGCACATTTCCTACACACAAATTATGATTAATATTAGGAATGACTAAAATATTGGTTAGTAAGTAACATTACTAAAATATTTAATTTAGCACATCAAATGATTAATATAAATAACATGCTATCTTACAAGTTATAGATTACTTTAGCTATCTTTTAATCAAAAACTAATCCAAGCAATTTATTTTAAGGGTTAAATACATATCAGCTAGTATTATATAAAAAAAAAAACAGAAAACACCCCATTTTTATGACATACAGTATACCATTTAATTGCATTTTCAAGAACAAGAAAATTTGGCAGACTCATAATTAACGTAATCGATGTGAAAGGTTTGACTAAAATTTCAGTTAATCTTTACAGGTCTAAGTACTTCAAATAGTTGATACTTTTAAAAAATTAGTTAATTTGATTATTTTAAAATTTTATAATAACCCCGTGAATTCTTAATGTGACATATATTTAATTGTGATATATTAGTAGTTATTTTGAAGTACAGTGAGTGTGATGGTAGCATAATTAATAGTTTAAAATGTTAATCATACAAAAAAAATTAAAATTGTCTCGTGAATAGTTTAGTTTAACTAATGTTCTTATTCATATTCGAAGTGTGAATCTTTGAATAAGTAGTAAGATATATATAAATTGAAAAATTATAATTTTTGTTGAAGATTAGAATATAAGAAAAAAATTATCTGTAAAAGTCTTTTTGATGTTCAAGTCAATACATAAGAATTTGGATCTT